AACTCAGAAGACAGAGTGAGAAGTGTTGCGGTGGAATAGGAAGTGTGAAGGTGGAGATTGGGCGGATATGTACTGTGAGGGTGTGTGTGTGTTGAACACAGTCTATCTCTATTTCTCTCAACCTCTAATTTTGCAGGATTCTACCTCATGGAGTCATTAAGCTCTTATAAGCTATCCCATAATGCCCTGCTGCTGAGAGAGTCCCAATTCACTGAATGACATCAGAGGCAGGGTTGGAAATAAGGTGTGGGTGTGCCTGCCTGCCTGTATGTGTGTGTGTGACTCCTCACAGATGAACGTGCAAATGTGTGTGTTAACGTGCGCGTGTGTGTCAGTCTGACGTCAATACCTCCTCCAATCCATATTTAACTCCATAGCCAGAAGGGCTTATAGCACCTTGTAGGTGTCTTATCTCACAGTATTTATAGACTGATCTAAACTTGGTGAGAGTCAGTGACAGGTGAAGTGATCCTCTCCCTCTTTAGTTTGATGGAGAAAGACCGCAAAGCTGATAATTGGAGTTTATTTGGTTGAGGGCATTGAAATTTGTTGTGATAGAATTGGGTTTTTAGTGCAGGGACAGAAGTGTTTTAGATACTGGATGAAAAGATTATGAGGAAAATACACACATATTAAAATACACCTTAAAAGCACTTTACCCCGTTAACAAAAATAACTTCTGCTTAGATTTGGGTCCAAATGTTTACATGAGGCGTCACAGAGACATTTTTCCTTTGCAGATATAAAGGGACTCAAGGAATAGGAAACATCAGGTGAATGCAATTACGTTATAAGTTGTGTTTGTTTAAGTGTGAATATGTTGTTTCTCAGCTGGCAGGCCACCTCCTGGTTGCTATTTCTGTTGTTCTCACCTCCTACATGTTAGTGTGGTGACGACAACGTGCTACAGCTGTATTCTTTGTGTCTGTGAGGTCTCCTTTTGCTTTATTATATCCATGTAGTAAATTAGACGTTCAATTTACTCTCCAAATTGAATGACCCACACCTGTCAGTCAATTAGTGTCCCCAGGAGGAGCAGAGAGAGTGGAGCCACATTTGAATCTGTCATATGGCAGCAAGGATTGATTTAATTATACTAATATAACACTATCACATTTTTTCAGTTTGTGTTGGATAATTACTTTAATCCTATTAACCCATTAGTCTCAGCAACTATTGAGAAGAAGCCAGCCAGAATAAAGCAGAGCTGAATTAATTTCAAAGGTCTTTGCAACTAGGATATTTCTCCCAACATTGGCTTAAATCAGAGATGAAAAGCATTACATATTAACAGAAGTCTACTAAATGTGAACTTACCCTTCAGTCTTTGAGTTTGTTTTACTGCAGTGCTTTCTTTGCAGTTTTAGTCTACTTCCCTCCTGCTGTTTTGATACAGACTTTCCAATCAATGAGTCCAATTTTTCTTTTCAAAGACATCTCAGTTTTAATTCTGTTTTTAATTCATTTTCAAGTCGTAAACGTTTGTACATGTCCTGTTTGAAACCAAAAGTAGATATTACATTATTTAAACCTATGTACTTAATGTAACTAACACAACGTAACATACGTACGATGCTTAAGTAACAGATAACCATACTTTATTTGAACCCAAGCCATGATCTTCTCCTATGCTTAACCGTTAAGTTGTATTGGCTAAGCCCAACAGAGTAGTACTGCAGCATTCTACCACTTCCGGCTTCCTTGTTTGAAGTCAACGTTTTTTTGAACGTGTTTAAAACAGTCTGAAAAACGGTCTGTGGTTAACACAAGCTGAAGAGATTTCCATGTTTTGTTCTGCGACATAAAATACATCAGTAAATACAAAAAAATTACTAAATTAAACTACTAAACGGCATCAAGCCGACACAAGTCCTCCTTTAGCTTATCGTTGGTGATGTGCAGTCATGCGACCATGATGTAGTTTGTTCATAGCGTTAGAGTAGCTTTTTATTTCTGCCAATTGCATTGACGCTTCGTAAATCACAAAGTGGTGTCAATATGTGGAAATGATCCTGCTGAACAAAACATGTTAAGTATAATAAACGTGTGTTTGCCACAAAGCTACTTTTCTTCAATATACCTAAATCCAACGGGGAAATACTTTTGCTTTTTATCGAGGGACCCCTTCCGATGCTAACTACCGGGTCGGCCTACAAAATTAAGTCATCACTGAACTACTCTATAACTGCATCACGTACATTACGTAGTTAACATACGTACATACTGTAACGTTGATGTGTTTATTTCTATCAGATAACCCAATGGGGTAACCAATGCGTTAAAAAGTGACACCAATTGGTCCTGACATATTTCAATGTGACCGAGTCAACCAAGACTGAACATTGAAAGCTTCAAAGGGACTACATTTTGCAGAGGATTTGTGTTGGATTGCATCAGCTTTTTTCAGGTGTGTTGTAAGAACTCCTTGTTTTTTGTAGCATTAATAGGCTACTCAGTATTTTGCCAAACTTGAAAGACATCAGTCTCTATTGACCCTTTCTCTTTTGGTATCTTACTTTATTGTGAATTCACTGTGATGAATAAAACTCAACAAAACGGCTTAATGCATTAGCACAGGATATTGGAATAGCTACTGTGTACTTAAGAACCACATAGAGGATGAACTGTAACCCACTTTTCAGAGCTGATGCATTTGAGACACTGGAACAAAACATGTTATTGTGTTACATTTGATATTTGAGTGTGTACATGTTTGGTTTTATAAAAAATTGAAAGTGTACGGATTAATCAGCAAGTTGGTAAAAGAGAAAAAATTCTGAAAGACATAGTGAATCATATTAATTTACTGTAAGAATAATTGTCTATGCAAACAATGATTGAATGCAGTTTACTGAAACGTAGCTCATTATATTTACAGGATGTGAAGCACTCTCAGCAACTTAAAAGCCCTGTTCTATAAAAAGCTGATCAACTATGTCACATTGTGGGTCAACCACATCACACAGGAAATGAAGACATTATAAATGATGTCGTTTGGATATTTGTAATGTTTAATTAGACTTAGAGGGATTGAATAATTTAACTTATTTTCTAAAGAAATATGTGGTTGAGTCCATTTTGGTGCTGATGTTTTTCCGACCATATAAGGCATCAGTTTTCTCTCAAGTCATGTAGATAAATAATGCATGAAATCATAAAAAGCTATGCAACATAATGTGATATTTCCTGTGAGAGTGCTATGGTAGAGGAGACAGAGTGCTTTCTTTTTTTCACATATTAATAATTGTTTTCTATCACATCAAATCATTATCTCTGCAGTAGGCATAATGTTGAGCGATCACAGTGTGCTTGGACTGCGGATAGAAAACTCAAATTACCTGAAATGTGCTCCAACAATACCAAAACCGTTCAATTCTTCAAGTTATTCGAAGAGTTTGAAGTAAGTCGATAGTGGTGCATTTGATGCTTTATGCCTTTGAAATACTATAATGTAATGTGGAATTGAGTAGGTTAAGCTGCATTGACATGATACACGTTTTGCTCACTGTGAGGTTTGGCGCAAAGCCTCTTGGTGAAAACAACTAGTTATGTTCCATGATTATTTCCCTTGCTAGCTTGTGGCGCTACATAGAGTTTGCGCATTGAAAGGTCTGGTAACAAGGTGTAAGTTTAAGTCATTTGAACTGCATCGCAATCTAAATTGTTGCCAATTCTTGGGCGATGCCGAGGGCTTTCCGCCTGTGGCACGGCTCTCTCCAAAGAAACACAACGTCTTTGCAGAGCCATTTTACCGCGTATCATGTGAATGAAGCTCTAAGGTTACAGTGAACAAGACACGCTGCTTTAGTTGGGTATGGGTGGATTACTAAACCCAAAGACTTGGATGGTCCTCAAGAAACTCCCAGATGGCTGAAGCTCCTAGAAATCAATCTTTATCACCATCCCAACCACCCACTCCTAGCAAAGAAACCGCATTCGGTAGCAGAGAAAATGAACTAACATTTAATTGAGGCCTAACTAACAATGTTTTTTAAGACTGCTAAATAATAAATAACATACTATAGGCTGATGGAACAATTGAAGATTATTCGATCCAATCCCTCAGAATGTTAGTTCATTAGTTGAAATGTGCGCATTATTGCCCTGCTATTAGTCTAGTTGGCTAGGTAAATGATATAAAGTGAAAAGCAAAAAGGGGTTTGACTGTAGTCACACACGTTTTCGTAACATTTGTTCAATGATAAGATTTACCTGTAACTACTGTTCAACTTGTGAGAATTTTTCTAAATTCATATGAAAGAATAATTTTCCTCTTTTTATCACAAGCATGAACAAACCCTTGAAATATATATATTTTTGCTTATTACTTCTTCCTTGTCTAAACATTGACTCCCATATTGCCCAAAGTGCAACTTTTTTCCAATTTGTAGTTTTCAGCCCCCGTAAACCTTTATGCAATACAATTTAAGGCCAATGTTGGTTTGTGAAATAGGGCTGAGACTACCCTTAAACACATTTGGCCACCTGGGGGCGGCAAAAACAAGCTTTAAAACATAACTTGACATATTATTTCCTTCTATGTTGATATTACAGGTTCCTTTTAGTATTCCCATATCCAATAGATAGAAAGCATTCATTTGGAATTCTCCTCAAACTCCTGAGGGAAATATCGGATCCATTTATCTGGGACTTAATTATCACAACCATGTTTGTCAAATAAGACGTCATTTTGAGCGGATGCAGGATGTGAGATGCTTTATTGGGGTTTAAGGTCGATGTGACAGCAGGAGCCGAGCACCGAGAATTTACCACCACTTCCTTTTGCTGTGGCTCAGATCCCCTACCACACAGATAAATCCTAACAAATCCTTAAACCACCCCCCCCCTCTCAGTGAGGCTCTAATAGGCTGTGTGAGGGCTGACGTTAGTGGGATGTTGAAGGGAAGTGTGTGAGGGGGAGTGAGGCATGGAGGGAATGAGAAAGAGTCAAATTGGGAGCTCACAAACAGAGAGGAAGAACAAAAATGGAGAGAGAGCGTTTTTATTATCAGATTCAGTCACGAAGGGCAGTGTAATTATCTCCTCCTCCACTTTGAATAACTTTTTCGTTGCTTGCTAGGTTACATTGTTCCATCAGCGAAAAATAACAACATGCCGTATTCCCTTCATTCTGTATTCAAAGCGACAAGGGACTTTTGGTCAGAGGAGAAAACATTACACCCTCTCCTTCCTCCTCTCCTTCTTGGCCCTCCCTCCACCGCCTCCCCCTCCGTCTCTTTGCTCGCTCTTGGCCCCTGTCTCTCCTCCGATCCCTCTCTTCTTCGCCTTCACTGCGTTTCACTTGGAGGACATGGTGTAGCAGCCATGGGGGTGCCACTGCATGTCACGGATACGCCTGATGGACTGCATCTGGGGGCAGCGGGCGCCAAACTCATTGAAATGCCTGTACTCGCCCTTCTCCAGCAGGTACTGGCTGCCACGGTAGCCGGGGAACTGGTAACCCACCCAGCTGGGGAGAGAGAGAGACAGAGGGAGAAGGTCAGGGGGGAGAAAAACATTTTAAACGTGGATGTGAGGAGAAAGGACAATACAGAAAGTGACGGCGAAAAAGTGGCAAGATCGATGAGAGAAAATAGTTTCCAGGAAAGGTAAACCCAATATGGTTGAAAGAGGAGTGACAGTGAGAGTAAACAGTGTGAGAGAAGGACTAGAGAAGCACAGATGTAGAGGGAGAATAAACATCAAACAAATAAAGACATCGATCTGTTTGTCATGCTGTCAGATGCCAGACCGCAGATGTTTCAGACAGCGCGGAGCCTAACAAATGAAGTAATCTCAGCATTTAAGAAACAGTGTCTGAAGTCAACCACACCTCTGAGAGCAGACAGATAGAGCTGCTGACGTTCATGTCACCATCTGCGAGCTGCTGATGGAAAATCCTTTTTTTCCTTAACACACACCCGCCACTTTCAGATAGTGTGTGATCCTTCTGAATTCTGCTAGCTTGAGAATGACAACACCATTTGAAAACTACTTAACACATGCGGCTGGATATTTGGGTTCAACTGCGTTTGTAAATTGGGTGCAATATAATATGCAATGTAATATTTGCTTAGAACAAGGATGAAAAAGGTTTTGATTCGACTGGTAGCTGCAAATAGAGAGATATTTATGCTGCAGCTCCTTGAACAGTGAGATGAGAAGATCAATACCAATCTCAAAACATGGAGATGGTATCAATCTATTCATTCAAGTCTCTGCAAGAAAGCTATTAAGTGTTTTTTCTATGGAATGAGTCTGCTTGTTTGTTAAGTTCCCAAAAACAGTCAATAAGGACCACAGGAGGTGAACTGTCTTATGGGAAGTTGTTTGGATGAGTCGAACTATCTCTATCTATAGAAAAGTCACTAAAAAACTCGTAAAATGGTGCGAGACTACTTACGTTCCACAGCTGACCATGATGCTGCCAACCCTATCGGTGAAACCGTAGGAGTACAGGCTGGGGACATCATCGTCCATGATCTCCATCTTACGGCCCTTGAACTGTCCGACCTCATACAGGCAGATCTTGTGCTTCTCGGGGTCCTACAAAATTGTGGGGAAATAAAAAGCAGGGAGAAGTAGTTGAAATTAGGACAAATAGAACATGAATCCAAGCAGGCCAAATGGATGAAGCCGCTGAATTCAGAGCGTGTTTCCTAACAAGCGGACAGGAGATTTACCATGCGGACGGGCCTGAAGGACAGCAGGTAGTCGTTCTTCTGGCAGTTGCTCCAGGAGTCCCAACGGGGGTACTCTCCCTTCTCCAGGATGAACATCTCTCCGCAGAAGTTCATCTGCTCATAACCCACGAAGCTGAAGAGGGGAGTAAAGGTCACAAGGACGAGGGGGGGGAAGGGGATGAGCTTAAAGAGTTTTAAGCATTGTAAATTGTAACAATTGTATGTGGTAAGGTTAAGGAGAAGATCATGGATTGCGTAAAAAAAGAAATGTGTTTGATATGTAACCTGTATTATGTACGTAAGGGTTTTACGTAAGTACATTTATTTTACGGAGTTGGAATAATGTTACGTAACTTAGGTTAAATATGTTAGTTAAGTAGGTCTATGTGACAAATATGACGTTAGTTACATCACAACTTCTTCCTTTGATCCAATTACAATTACGACAACTACTAGAGGTCCCCACCTAATAATAAAATCAAAGTAGAACGTCAAAAGCTGCTTGCAAAGAGGACGGTTTGTTTATAACAGTAAGATATGCTTTCTTCCTACTTGGTGTTGCATCTTGAAATAACTAATATCCTTAATGGCAATTGGTCCACATTGATTCATGATTCACTAATTGGTCCAATCAGTGGAAAACTGCTGTACTACTTTCAGTCGTTTCTGTTTGTTGCTTTTTCATGTTGTTAGGCATTGAAGTTCACTCTAAATCTGCCCTCTTTGCAAATCATTGGGGATAAAAGCATCAGCGACATTCTCAAAATGTGAAGAGGGAAATGTCACATAATGAGGAGGTACAATTTTGCTATCCCCTGCTCTGTGCTCAGAGGAGTGTGGGTGTTGGGTGCAGTATGATTACTTGCAGGTGGGTGGTGTATCCGCAGCAGAGGCTACTTACGGGCCACAGTTGACGCGCAGGGAGCGAACTCTGTCCATTCCCATGTCGCACACGTTCATACACTCGCCGTTGATCTCGATGCAGCGACCCTGGAAGTTCTCCTGGTCGTACACGCACATCTGGATTGTTGTGGGGAAGAGAATGACAGTGAAAATGTGGTCGCAAACGTGGTTTCAAAGTTAAAGCTAATGAGAGTAGAAACCTGATTTTTATGGAAAAGTAGAAGTGGCTTTAGGTTTGGTAAAAGGAAGTGACTGTGATGTTATGACAGCTTTCTCCACAATGACTGAAAGCACAAAAGCTTTACATGGTATTTTCCTGTCAGTTGTAGTTGTCGACCGCCCCCTCACTGAGCTTTAAGAAGCAGCAGGTTGTGATAATAGACATCCAGCCAGAAGGTAAACTGTTAGCATGAAGCCAGCTGCATCACATGGTGTGAACAAGACTGTATGGTATATCTGTAGATGTTTGATCGTCTGGTGTAGTTTGTGTGTGTTCGTGTGTGTACTTCACCTTGTAGGAGCCCATATCGGACATCTTGTTGTGAGCGGCCTTCCCGTCGGTCTGGGAAGCAGACTTGGACTTCTCTCCTCCAGCAGACATGATTACTGAGGAAAGAAGATGCTTTGAATCAATTAAAAGTGGTTAGACAAGACAAGCCAACCCGACATCACTATTGGTTTGTATCTGAGGCATTGAGTCTGGCATTTCAGCCATTGCCATGTTGTTTTGCTTACACTAGCTTGTTTAGCTTTGTGCATCCATAATTCACGTTAACTTTGGTATTAAATTGGGATGAACATTTTGGCAGAAAAAACATGCTTAAAATGTACCTCCCATACAAAAATACAGTTGACTCTATAACAGTGTCAAACGCTGAACAACGCCATAGTAGTAGCACTATGGATGTGACATGTCAATCGAGTCAAGTTAGCCACGCCCTTATGCACTATCGTCTAAATGGGAACACAATTTACAAAATATCCAGCATACTGTTTTTTCTGAAGACTTGAAACTTGTGATTCAGACTATAAAGTCATAAGTAAAATCTTTACTGAGGTGATAAATCAAGTCAGAACAAGGATCATTTTCTCATAGACTTTTAACCAATCAGACTTCTTTCTGCAACCAGTGGAGTCGCCCCCTGCTGGCTGTTTTAAAGAGTACAGGTTTTCCACAATGGCTTCAATTATCTGACCTGGAGGTTCCTGCTTGGGTAAAACATTATTTTTTAAATATATAAAAACACTGATGTTGATATTTCTTTTGAATATCACCTTTACTAAGGAAAAAAAGTATCCACAATAAAGTAAAGATGACATGATTCTATATTTAAAGATTAAGAGTATCATATGTTTAGGAAAATAATTAAGCAAATAACCCTACCCCTTTTCCGAGCCCCACACCCCACCCACAGAAACTTTCATACAATCTCTAACAAAGCATAATTCAGACCATAGAGAATACTACCTTCTCACCCTTTCTTCTTTACACATTTCTAGAATAAAACAACAAACATGTCCAAAATAGAACTGTAGGCAATAGCAGGCTTTGCTATCATAAATAAAAACCTAGTGATCCCTTTTAACATGAGCATATAGCATAAAACACAACTTTCTTTTAGACTTTTTAGTTTTGAAATTACATTTAAAATAGTTCTGCATTTGTAGGACCAACTTCATTTTTAAAGTTCTATTTTGGGTTCCACAAGTATTAGTTTTAGCATACTATATATAAGCAATGTTGGACTTTCAAATCACAAGCTCAAACTACAAAATACTTTTGTCATTACTAGGTAAAACGTAATTTTAACCCTCTACCTCCCTTTTTTCTCTGCTGCTCTCTGTATGATGTGTGTCCACTGTCTTACCTGTGGCAGTGTGTGCGTAAAAGAGTAGATTCGGGGCTGAGACTGGTGGTCTGTGTGTTGCTCCAGGCCCCTCGTGGCTTTTATATGCTGGCGCCCAGAGAGAGGGGATTATGGACACAGAAACAAACTCGCTGAGCTCACAGCCCCCACAGAATAGAAATACCCCCATCATCAAAGAGAGAGGGAGACACAGAGGGGACAGAAAGAGAGGCAGAGAGGTATAGGTTTGAAAAATATGAGAAAATGTGACAAACTGAAAAATCAATGTGTGGTTTGCCTCGGTGGACTTGATGGAAGACTGATAACTTCAATAAAACAATAGTGAGTTCTCACATCCAAAGCCCGGACACCAATAGTAGTTCCACAACAACAACGGCCAGCCTGACCAGGGTATCATTTAAGAGCCTGTCACAAAGTTATTCATTCCAGGACTGTAATTTAAGAGGCGCTGGGACAAACAATAAAAGGAAAAGCAATAAGCTGCGAGAAGCAATAACCTCGCTCCGTTTGGGAAAGAGGTTCAGGTGTACAATAATCTAAATGTCTCTCTCAGCATTGTAGGAGAAGGCTATTAAATTAAAGCAAGCCTTTTTCATGCGGTGGGCGTTCATCCGCAAGGTGATTATTCTCAAGTGCACAAGAGGGAACAAGCAACCCTAAGGTCCAATGTATCTCCACATTTAGAGGGGAGGTCACATGTGCTGCTGAGGACAGGAGGGAAATCAAGGCTGCAGCTCTTCACCAGACGAGAACCTGAAAGAAAAGCTACTTGTGTCTTGGATTCAGAGATTGGCCTCATTAATCAGTGCATGATATTAGTATGTCCTTAAATCCTCATGCTCAAGTTAGGATGAGGGAAAGGTCAATTGGGTACTGATTGAAGGCCTGAATCACACTTCCCTCTCATTGAGGATTGTACGTCCTAAGAGAACGAATACAAAAAAGGGGAAGTATCATCTGTCCTTGTTCTCCATCCCCTCCACAAGACAGAAGGGGGCGCTTCCCTTTTGACTTGATTCTTAAGTATTTCATTATTAAGGGGTTGACTAATCACTGCAGAGCTGAACTGAACTGCAGCACAGGCAGTATGAGACAAAAAAGCGCTTTTTGAACATTAAAGCATGGAAACATGTCAAAATACATATATTAACCTGAAATGAGCATAATAAGGCCAATTTCAAAAATGACATTCCATAAAACTAACAAACAAAAAATAGAAATAAAGGAATGTGTATAATAATAATAATAATAATAGATGACATTTGTATAGCGCCTTTCAAGGGACCCAAGGCCACTTTACATGGTGAACAAACAAACAAACAAAAGGGGCAAATAATAAAGTAAAAAATTAAATAAATAGCAGTATCCCTAGGAAAGCATCATTGTAATTAGTTCATTATTAAACTTTTGGAAGATAATTAGCAAATCACACATTTTTGCAATGCAGCACATATAAAGTAATTTAGTTTTGTAATGCACGGTATAGGGGTCCAAAAATGTTCCCATTTATACGTGGCGCAGGTGGTAACATCGCCTTCATCATTTACACTATTATCCAGCTCCTTATAAAGAGATCATTCATTCTTAGCTGGAGCTATAAAATGCAGCACCTAATCTGATGGATAGAATAGATGAGCTAGAAACCAGAAACATGCTCTTCAAAAAGCCCTTTGATCAATATCCTGAGTGTGGCTGAAGTTTGTGAAATTCAACTTCAAAGTCTAATCAATTCCATGTCCTGCAGAGGCACCACTGAGGCTTTCACAGATACTACTACATAACAGGAAATATGTCCATTCACTAAGTGGGACCCACGTCATTCATATGAAAGTAAATATGACGTCATAACCCAGCTCTCTAAAGTTGATTGGAGCATCTCATTAGATATGGATTTTTTTACATTTAAGTGTATTCGAGAGATCATCAAGGGGGAACCTTCATCTACAATGACTTCCAGTTGATTACATAAATATAGAAAAGGAAAAGCAAAACATCAACAAAAAAAATGAAAAACATTTAAACAAGAATTTTGAAATAAGTGCAAATAATTTGTTGGATAAATTAAAATATAAAAAGTTGACAAGACATTTGCATGCACTTCCTGAAAAATGCAAGCTTGCATAATGATGTGTCTTATTATTATTCTGACCAGCAGCAAATTGATGCTTAAGGTCTCAGCTTTACATAAATGAGTTTTAATGTACACACATTTTTTGTTTATTTCCAACAAGAACCAGAAAAACATGAAAACTTTACAGAGTAAAGTGTTTTTTTAAGCAATCAGTAGGAATGTGATATTCAATATCTCAAACATAGTATTATAAATCTTTATGTCCTGTTCCTTTTGATAGTATAAAACTGAAATGTTTCCCGAAAAAAGTGAGATGCTTTTACATAGCAAAACATTTTATATTTCATTTTCTTTCTTGGTCTTTCATCCTATTCAGTAAATAGTTGTGTGCAACCAAACCCGGCACATGAAATATTCATTCTGAGTATGGATTAATGTTGGCGCAGATAGTTTGAAGGGCAGTGACTTTTGAAACTCTGTTGGGAAATGATGCTGGTCGTGACTTTGGCGAGTGTGTGTCTGCTTGACAATGAGCATGGCTCTCTGGGTGATATGTCAAGGACCAGATGAGGCTGGGAGAGATGTCGCTGTGGCAACTGTATCCCAGATGTGAGAAGTGATGGACTTGGTAGTTTTACATGAAAACAACATCAGTGCAAAAATATTCTGAGGTTGTGACAGACTGACAGTATTTCAACACAAAGTTTTATTTTTTAGGGCTTTTTTTCCTGAACAAAAATATTCTCCTAAACCACTTTTCTATGTATGTATTTTAATAATACCCAACGTTACAAAGTGGTGCAGGAATGAGTCCATAGACCTGGTTATGAGTTACTTATTTTTGAACATGTTGCTTAGGTGACTGAAATTGGATCTGTGATTAACACAAGTTTAAGGAATTATCACGTTTGATTTTTTGACATAACAAATACAATTAAATGTCAGTAAATATTCCAATATTTAATGTCTGAAGCTTCTATGTGTCTTTAACACGGCAGTTGCGAATAAGTGACTAAATGGGACCACTAAACATCATTACGCCGAACATTAGCCGCAGTTTACTTAGCGGTGGTTAAGTGCAGCCATGTGATTATGATGTAGTTCCTTTATAGCCTAACATTAGCTTTTTACTTCTGGGGATTGCATATAGGCTTAAACAATCTTAAAAGTTGTGGAAATATGTGGAAATTATCCTGCTGAACAAAACGTGAAAGTATCATAAACGTGTGTTAACCATAGATCTAATTCTCCACCATATTCCAATATAAAATTGAAAAATCCCATTGCTTTTTCTCTCAAGGGAGCCCTTGTGATGCTAACTGCTGTGTCATACATCATCACTGCACCACTCTATTCATTTTTTAAATATTATTCATTATTATTTCACTTTAATTGAGCCTGTGTGTAAATTACCTCAACTTTAGAGTGGCTCCATTGAAACAAGCTCTCCAAATCCTTCTCATTCTCTGCCTATAGTCCCGGCCATTGTTGCTCTATACGAAGGCACTGCTGACCTATACGAATAGAGCAACAACAGGCCGCATTCCCCAGCCTCACCTCTGTGCCTGTTGTATAGCCCGCAAACTGCTGAGTCTGCAGGCATAGAGTTCCAAAGAGAGAGAGAGAGCTCGAGAGGGCTGAGCGGCAGAGTCACCGACGCAC